CAGATTTTCGGTGACTCCGACTCTGACTCCGGCTGGGGTTTCCAATATCGACTCCGACTCCGACTCCGACTCCGGTCACAACTGTCGACTCCGACCGACTCCGACTCCGACTCCGACTCCGACTCCGCAGCCCTGCTTCCAAGTCAGTTTAATGACCCAATAGTCGGAAGGGTCTAGACCTGCCTAGAAGTTTTTGTCGTTTGTCGTGAGCGAGAGAGAGAGAGAGAGAGAGAGAGAGAGAGAGAGAGAGAGAGAGAGAGAGTGAGAAAGAGAGAGAGAGAGAGAGAGAGAGAGAGAGAGAGGGAGAGAGGGATTATGCGAAATCAGTAGCGGCGGAACACCTTCAATTGGGGAGGGGGGGGGGGCACTGCCGACTTTTTGTCCCATTCTTTCCATGCAACGCCCATGGGGCTAATGTTAAAATGCCAAAATCAAAGGGGGGGCACGGTGCCCCGGTGCCGTTTCCGTTACGCCGCCTATGTGCGAAGTGCTCCATAGGATGACCAGAGCTGGCTTCCCGACGAGACAGACACAGAGACATAGACAGAGACAGAGAGACGCAGAGAGCGAGAGAGCGAGAGCGAGAGAGAGAGCGAGAGAGAGAGAGAGAGAGAGAAATTAGCCTTTTTAGAAAACGGTCGGTATAGGTATTAAGCGACAATGCACGGATTTAAAATGAACGTTAATCCTTCTCACAGCTAGCCTGCCCAACGTGTTTCCATTTCCATCGCTAGTGACCTCGCCTTTAGGCCATGTGAACGGAAACCGGCAGCTAAACAGCAGATATTCTAGGGGCGCGGAAAGCTTGAAGATTGGCTGTGCTACAATGCTATTCCTAGTGGTTTTGATGCTTTTAAACCTGGCTAGATTGGCTCCATACGCTCCGCAGATCGGCAAATTTGTAGTTAAGCAGCCCTGAAGGCACCGGCCAAGTTCCATCGCTGGTCCCGGCCAAATAAGACACAAGGGACCAAACCAGGGCTGCGGAGTCGGAGTCGGAGTCGGAGTCGGAGTCGGTCGGAGTCGACAGTTGTGACCGGAGTCGGAGTCGGAGTCGGAGTCGATTTTAGAAACCCGAGCCGGAGTCGGAGTCGGAGTCACCGAAAATCTGTCGACTCCGCAGTCCTGCTAGGTCTGCGGAGTCGGAGTCGGGAGTTGGAGTCGGTCGGAGTCGACAATTCTGCCCGGAGTCGGAGTCGGAGTCGGAGCTGGTTTTTGAAAGCCGGAGTCGGAGTCGGAGTCGGAGTCGCCGAAAATCCATCGACTCCGCAGCCCTGGACCAAACACATTTTCACATGTTGGAACGTTTCTAATCTTAAGTCTAGAAACGAACGGTTAATGAGACATGACACGCCGAATTCTGGCCTATAATGGGCTCTAGAAACTGGTCACAGACCAGAGGTCATTTTGGTCAGGTTCATGAAATTTTCAGGGTAGGTGTGAGCTTTCAATTGCAGATGGCCTGAAGTCCAAACTTATCCTGACTCCTGACCGCATGAGCATTTATTTACTTATGGGGAGAAAATTAACTTACGGCACAGAAAGCTTCGCTGCTATCCGCCACTATTTACACGAGTTATTCAGGAAAAACCAAGGAGAGGGATTCATTTTATCACCCCTAATAAAAAGTAGGGGTTCCATTAAAAGTAAACGGTAACATCGATAAATAACATCTGTATGTTTCTCAATTCAATATGGTGAGTTCTTTCGTAAGGTTAATAAATGCATATTAGGTAAACAATATTGTAAGTTGACCATGGCACGAAATTTCCATTCTATTTTATCCCGTTCGTTCTAGCCCCTCTCGCCTGCCCCCCCCCCCCCACACCACCACCACTACCATCAAACCGGCTGAGTTGGCTGAGGCGAGGCTGGCTAAGGCGAGCGCCTCCCCTCCGTTCATGCCAAACAGCGCCTGGCTGTCGTGACCTCTGGCCTCACTGCCCGAAGGCTCGCCCGCTGTCCAAGGACGCCCTGCGCGGGCCGCAGTGATAGCCTCTGCCGAGTCCCGCTTCTATCCACCGTTCACCACGCGCTGGATTCATTCATGCCTCTGTGTTTCAGCGTCCTACCCGTTGGGTGGCACCACTGTAGTCATAGGCGACTGCAGGGAAGCCGCGGTCAGAATGCCCCAAACGGCGAATTTTGAGGTTTTCTTTTAATTTCTCCGAAACTAGCCGGCATACGATCAAACCTTTTTCCATGCTCATGGGAGGGAGCCATGCGAATAAATCGGTCACATCTTCAAGCCTACAAAGCGGAAGACGAAAAAGATATAGCCGGAAAGGCAAAACCTACGCTTAAAACCCGCGGGACCTGTACGTTTGCGGTATACGTTTCTCAACATGGGTGGCTAAAAGGGATAGAAATTGTAATAATGTAACCAACAAACACGCAGCGAAAAGGCAGCGTGTTTCTATTAGTATTCAAAATACCTATTACCTACCTTATTTCAACAAAAATACATCACCTTTTGATTTATTTCATAAATATTTACTTAGCGAAATGCATTCAGATTTGGCGATGAAAAAACAGCTTTCCAACTCTGCCCGTCAGCACGTTCAACAATGCGCTTTGCTTTGGGCTTACGTTTAATTTAGGGCATACGGGCTGTGCAAATCGGGTTGATTATAGTCCAGGGGCATCTTCACCGACTGGACGGCAAGGAAATAACTTCCGACGACGCCCGGCATTGCAGGGTGCCTCCCCCAACAGTTGAGGGTCTTTCCCCGTCAATTTTTGTTATTTCTCTGACAGTTGGGATCCGCCACTCCTTGATAATGTTCAGTCGTAATTGTTAGGTCGCAATTGCAATTGCTCCCTTGCAATTGCTGTACGTTTTCTTACTATAGTTCCTGCTAGTTTTATTTTATCAATAGGCTTTTGTTGCATTGATGGTAACATGTGCTTTCTAAGAAAGGTTTAACATGGTTTAACTATTAAGCAACGGATATATGTCAATTGATATAAAAGCCGATGAGTGTCGTTTTATGCTTTCAAAGATTGCACTACACTTTTTTTAATAAGTGAAGTCTGCTCTATTTGTAAGACGTTTATGTAGGTAATTTTTTGATAGTTAATTAGTGCCAAGATTTCTTTACTACTCAGGTTGGTTCACTAGGGAAATAAAGGCGCCGTGGTGACGTCATCAGAGGAAATCCTTCACGTTCAAATGAAGGGGTCATTTGGGCTCGATATAGTCCTATTTTTTAGTTTCAGCCCCATTTGTCGTAATGAGGCGAACTCATTGTTACATTAGTACAACTTTTGATGACACATAATCCTTGTTTTTTCTCCAGCTCGCTCGAAAGATGATGACATTTGCATGCATGCCTATGGGTGAAGGGAGATTCTACCGCCGTGGTGACGTCACGGTAAAGGGATTCTGGAGCTCGTGAACGGGGGCTGAATAAGTGCCTCTTAATTTTTTTTTTGGAACATTAGATACCTATACTTATAGGACTAGAGGACATTAAGTCCATATATTATACATAACCTATCGAATATATGCGTAGTGTCGCCCGCAACCATTCAGATCTATATACCAATTACCAACTGTCCCGTTCCGCACCTCCAGACTGCACAGTGGCCACACCCGCGGCGGCGTCCCACCACTTCATCCCCCGCGCTGCACTGATGGTATGCCGGAACACACCTCACGGCGCGTCTCTGAGAGTCTTCAGAGCGGGTCTCAGCGACACAGCACGGCTGGACGGCCGGTGAAGAGGTGCTGAGAGGAGTCCGTGAAGGAGGAGGACCCCGCAAAAGTGAAGAGAGAACGGAGGGAGAGGAGGGAGGATGGGCCGCGCATGGAGGAGGGGAGGATCACGAGGAACTCCGTACAGCTTTATAACGGTGAAAAAGAACGAAAAGGAAGATAGCTTTCCATTCCGACATGGACATCACCTTTCGTACTAATTACAGTTGTTTGAAATGTACTGGCGATTTTAATCGGACCTTTTGTGGATCAAACTCATTACTTAGCGGCCAAAAGCTATGAAAACACCGTGCACAGTAGAAGGCGGCTTCATTCGATTGGCTTCTGATTGAATGTTCCCGGCATCGACCGTTTAGTTTCTCAGAAGGAAACAACACGGCTAATTTCCGCAGGTAAAGAAGCAAAGTAATTGTGCAATGTGTACATGGTGTCTCTATAGACTTACGGCCTATAGGCAACACAATATCCGTTCGTAACACACATTTCCTGGCTCAGTATCTGCGGTAAATGATCTGAAAAATGAGGACAAGCCCTCGCCTGGCCAGGCAGCGGCGTGGCTTCTCCTCCCAGCTTGATGCCACATTTTAGGACTCGTCTGCGGTCGACCAGCACTGTCCTCGTTTATCTCAACCTCCATTCGAAGGGCGCCCACACATCTTACATTTAGCTCAATCTGTAAAAGCCTTTGTGGGTGGAAAACGGAGGCAATCTTATGTCTCTGTGTTCTAGTGGCAAAGGTCAAACTATTCCGAGAACCGCAAGATGGCTATAGAAAACAAATTTAACGCTTTGCAGCGCGCCGCAAATGATAGGGTTGTCGCGAACATCAACGTTATATTTGTATTAGTGTGAGTTGGGTAGAAAATTGTCATCAGAACATTTTGTCAATATTATAACGCATGTTAAAACAATTTTAAATGAATCAAATTACGAATTCCTATATTTTTAGAAAGAACGTGAAGTGCCATCCTAGGATAGTGGTGATGTGCATCTGATATTGGCAACGGTCAAGCAGAGGCGTACCAAATACAGGAACTTATTTAGTCGGTCTGATGTTGGTTTTGAACAACGAAGTCATTTGAGTTTCACAGTGGCCATATTGATCACCTACAAAATTACAGTGTTCGGATGTTCAATAAATGTCTTGCCTTACACATACATGTCCTTCTCTCAGCTCCGCTCGCAGGGGAGGAATAAGACACGATAATCAGCAGACGAATAGACCAAACCGCAGGCCGTGTCTCCCACATTGCACACTGGCTGCCAGCCCCAGGGCACTCACATTTGACGCTGAGCATCACGGGGCGGCTGGCTCCGTCCCCCTCCTGGTTGGACGCCTTGCAGACATACGCTCCGGTCGAGTGGCGACTGACGTTGCGAATGACCAGGTTGCGGTCACTGGTGTCCACGCGGTCTGAGGTGCCGGCCTCCTGAGAGCCGGGGCTCAGCTGGATACCCTGTGGTGGGGTACAGGGCGTTAGAGGTACCGGCTCTCCGGGCAGGGATTCAGCTGGATACCCTGCGGACTGCGGTACAGACGTACAGAGCGTTAGAGGTGCCACTTGCCAGTCTCCTGCGAGCCGGGACTCGGATGCATGCCTTGCAGTAAAGGTAAGTACATACAGAGTCAGCTGTACTGGGCTTCAGCGAACGCTGCTGAGTAGGTTACAGGATATTCAGGTCGATATCCAATACGGCAGGGTTGCGAAATAATAAGCATTAGAGGCACAGAACTCCGGTAAACCGAGGCTCATCTGATGCATCGCAGTTGAGGTACGGAGCATTAGATGTACTGAACCCCTGCGACCCCCGAGCAGGGACTGCAGGTCGATGTCCAAAGGTAGAAATAGAGAAGATGACTGGAGCCACGGACACATGTAATGAACTCCGGCTCCCGAGTACGAAACTCAGTTGGATGTCTTATACGGGCTATACGGAAGGTGCAAAGGGCGACAGGTGGGGCTCGAGCGCTGTTGGAGCGCTGGAAAGCCGCGACTTAGCTAAACTGCTTGTGAAACGCAGTTAGCCCGCTTTTACCAGCTTCCGGAAGAAAACAACTTAATCTAGTTTTGCTTCTTCATCCAACATTTAACAACAAAAATAATTAGTTTTCCTCATCAAGCCTCACATTGCTATACAAAATGAGTTTTTATTTCACCATGCAACTTTAAGTGAATGTAATAACAAGGTACTGGCGTTGCAAGAGCTGTTTATACTGCGGGCTATACTCCGTATAATCGGACGAAACGAGGCTGTTTTCAGTAACTGGCTCTCCCCTCTGACCAGAATTAGTCAGTGCACACAAAGGGCAGACCATTCGGCCGCAACTTGGGAGAATCAAGGCCACCAGTAAACAAAATTGCTTATATTAGGCTGAGTTACGAACTAAAACACAAAAGGCTATTGAACCTGCAGCGCTGCAACTTCGGCAGAACAATAATGTCGAACGTCTCCAATGGCCATGACCTTTAGAAGATCCACAGGTGTTTCCCAACTTCATTGACGTCAATTTGTAGACGATGTTTCGAAGCGGAGTGCAATCTTTGTGTCAGTCTCAGGCCATATTGAATCTTTCAAGTGGCACCACGCCTTTATTGAGACTTGAAACTTATCGAGATGGATGACGTCCCTCTGCATTGACTAGCATCATTCACAATGAAACATAAAACAAAGTGCGTCAACCACGTTCTCTGACCATGACAAAGGCTGTATGGTCAAACACATGGCATCAGGCATGGGTAGCAGCTCAAAATCGATGTGTCCGAAACTTTTCAACTAAAGCGCAGTCGCAAAGAAGCGATTGAGATGTGCATGAACACATCTACAAGAGGAACTCGCCAGTTTCGCATAAATTAAAATATGTAGCTATTTAGCGTTGAGTACCACGTGAGTAGGTAGGTAGTTTATGAAGGCAAGACGACACATAATCACTTGAGCATGGGAAGCGGTAAGCCAATCCAATCGTTTGGCGGTGCAATATTTTTATTTTGGGATCGAAGTTTAAGTTATGACAGTTTGTAACCACTGAACTTTCCACTTTTAGGGAGTTTTAGTTAAATGTGATCAACTACTCGTATGTCAATCTAATATCACGTTAATTATGCATATGATGTATTGATTTTGTATCACGAGAGGAAATAAAGCAAAAATGTAATGAATAAAAATGGTAAAATTGACCTTTCCATGAAGATCCATGAAGATGAAGAAGATTTCCAATGATGGCCTTTCCATTTTCTTGAAATTGACATTTTGCTCATAATATCGGACAAAATGATTGAAAAGGGTTCATTTGGAGTTTGGACCTTTTATCAATGAATTTCTCCGATATTATGAGCATAACGTAAATTTTACCATTTTTACTTATTACAATCATGCTCAAAGAAACGTTGTCTCATATAAACACTTAATGTTAAATCTAGGCTATAGGTATGATTTATTTGATGTTTACAAAAAGCTACAGATCATCTTGATATTACTGCTTTTTTATCCATGCATATTTCAGGATTTGATAATGAAGTCGGTTCGCTTCTCCAAAATGCCACAAATGCTTTTCTGTCCCACCTTCCACTTTGCTGCACGCCATTTCAAGCAGCATGGTCTTATCGCATCAACTGGGCAACGTTAGCGACTCGTAATATCAAGCCCCCATGGGCCATTGCATAACCATCTCTTCCGCTTTCGGCTGAGTTCACAACGCGGCGAGATGAGCTCTACCTCTACTTACATCATGGTACAGACGACGCTGTACTTAGATCACTGGATATGACACATAGCACCTCAGTACTTACATCGTGGTACCAGATGACGCTGTAGACCACTGGGTTGGCCGAGATGGAGCAGTCGAAGTAGACGTCGGCACCCTCCTTGATGTCATCAGCTCGCAGAGCCGAACCCAACTGCAGGGTCACCACTGGAGCGTCTGGGGGTGGGTGGAAACACTACATTGTAACAATTCCAGAAATATGGCCATTCGCAGTCATCAGCTCGCAGAGCCGAGCCCAACCGAAGAGTCACCACTAGAGCGTCTGGGGGTTCCGGTGGGCACGTCGAATCTCGGAAGATACGAGATATATGGCAGGCATCAGCTGTAGTACATGTTTCCCATTAGTTCAGGAAACTCGTGCAGTAAATATGCACAAATGCATATTTGGAAAATGTTGGAAAATGCGAATGGCGCAACACTTAGGGTACAAGGAAAGAAGTAAAGGTATCGTAATCGATTATTACCTGAAAAGTTGAGCGTGTGTTTTAACTATCATTTCATTTTCACTGTGTGCGAAAATAATGGTTGTTAGCTACTTTGATTACCTACGCCACTTCAGGTTCAGATCAGGCTCGTGTATTCAAGTTTATGAAAAACCATCCATTGCAGTACCGCCTAGCGCAAAAATAAATAGATATTTCTCAAGCAACAATAATCCTTGGTCCTTCAGAAATCGATAGGAAGCTTGAAGGACCTTCAAATTTCCATACGGGCTCCTTAGAATCAGGCATCGGTAAAATCCTTTTTGAAAGGATTGCATTCCCAATCCACATTCCTAGTGCCGAAGTGGATTGCATTCCTACCCGCAATCCCCTTTTTCACTTGGATTATGATCAAATCCGCAATCCTTTTTTGCAATCCTGTTGTATTATTATGTGCACTAGTGGATCTGGGGGAGGGAGGGGAGGGGGGCATATGGCCGTGCCTCCAACCCCAAATCACCCATTTCTAGTAGGTACCTAGTCTTGCGAGCAATTCCTATCTAAGGCACAGGTATTTTATGGGAAATATTTTTTGCCTCAAACACCCCCACATTTTAACCTCTACCCAACCAGTGTTTTATATTTTTAAAACTCGCCCTCAAATACGTAATTTTGCCCTTCCTATGTAGTTCATCAGCGTATATTATTTTGAGCGTTTAAATTAAAAGCGTTTAAATTATTTCAAGTTTCGATGTAAAGCCCTTGATAGCAAAGTACATTAAGCCGATGAAGCCGATCTCATAATTTTCAATCGCAACAAACCATTTCAAAGCACTAATCAAACACAATCCGGATTGGATTGCAAAAATTGGAAGTATGATGCAATCCAATCCGCAATCAAATCCTGTTTTTTGGAATGGATTTCAAATCCAGGTGCATTCCACCAAAAAGGAATGCAATCAGGATTTTGCAATCCTGCAATCACAATCCTACCGATGCCTGCTGAGAATTGATTTCGACTGCATATCCTTAACTTCCGATCCGATGAGCATGGCATATTAGTCATTCCACTACATCAGTTTAGGGAAGTCCCATTGCGCCTTTCAAGACTGCCATCCTATTTCGCCTGATTAACGAATCTTGCCCGGGGCGCCGGCAGCATTGTCTGCACAAAATGACGGCCTGCATGCAAAGCATGCCAGTCCAGGCAGTGACATACTCGCGCCGGTTCACATTAGGCCCGGAGCTAAGAGCCAGGCCGATTCAGATGCAGAACAGCTGTCAGGCATTCAGCGAACTCCATTCAGAAATATGTTCCAAGTCTCCAGTGACGAAGACGACATTAGTTTGCGTCCAAGAAGGCACGTGTTTGCTCGGTATTTTTGAATGGTTAATGTTTGAACGGATGCAACAATCTGTTTCACTGTGAGAGACATATGATTAGAAAGAGTTCGAGCAAAATATGGGCTGTTCATGGCTTCATGCCTGGGTAGTTATGTGATTAGGGAAGAGGACGTGCTTCAATTTATCACTTTTCGATCCTCTCAAATTATACGATCACATTCGTCAGCCATTCATCCACCTGAAATCGTTTGTCACCTCCCCCGTGGCACAAGCCGATAACGATCGAAAGAAATGACTTGTGTGACAGATTGGTTCGGAGAACAATCGAAGACATTCTGTGGAATATAAGCTCGTCTAGCATTCGTAGAATCCACAAGGAATCGACGGGCGGTATAAAGAAATACGAACATCACAATCCTGCAATTTGCTCGACTTCGTGCGCGTCGAATAGGCGGACGAATACTCTAATGCACAAACGATGTCATTGCCTAACCTACAATTTAAGATGTCGTGTGCACCTGATATCTTCAGGACCGAGTACATTGCTCATACTAACCACTCCAATCTTCATGTTATAGGTTAACCTGTGATGCATTGTGCTGTTTCAATATTTCACCCGAGCCCTAACCTCCCCAAGCAAAATAGGTAGGTACGGATGGATGTACCACATCGCTTTAGTTTCGACCCTCGAGCTGTCAACACTTGGAGCCGCGCCAAAGACATGGGGCTACGTAGCGAACAAATTGCGACCAGCCGGCTCCACTTAGTTACGCTCATAGCTGCATAATTTATTAGGGACCCACCTCCCCGATGAGTTACGCGAAGCTCATTACGCGCACTCGCGCTTGGCCCGTAAGTATATTGTTGTGAATGGACCATCCAATCGACCAGACAACCTTATACGCTAGCCGTGACTCCACTGACATAAAATAAACCATGCACCCCATTACACCAGTCACCTAGACAGGAGAACATTTACATATTGTGCAGTCTATGTCCGACATTTGCTGTGATCTTGGCGACTAGCTATGGTCGGTAGATTGCGGAGGAGCGGTTGTTATGTTGTTAAAGCCGTGCGCTACGTGTATCGGAGAGGGCTGTTACTATTCCTCCCGCCTTCTCCCGGCCCCTCGCCACGGCGGCCGCTATCAAACCAGCGGAAATGGCACGCCAAAGGAGCCGCCAGATGACGAGAGCTGAATACCCGAGGCGGTATCGCATACGTGTAGCCACCACGGGCCAACGTGCGCTTCCGAAGGCTTGAAAGCGTACCGGTCCTGGTACTATACCGGTAAATAGTGAGCTGTGTAACGATCTTAACGTGTAACGATGTGTTAGTGTGTATTGTTCAATGTAAAACGATCGAGGAGTTCCTTCCGTCTTATGGCTTGTCTTTACTATGCAATGGGTCAATCCTTCGCTGGTAAAATTCACATCAGTTAAGACCACATGTGAGCTTGTAAAAGTTGGCACGAGTTCTATACAGCACAATGGAAGATGTTTTGAAGCACCGTCCTTCAGTATGGTAATGCTCTCAACACTACAAAGCGACACTACTGAAGCACATTACCGTATGATGGTCGCATATACTCGGTACTCACATCTCACGTTGAGCGCGCGCTGATCTTCCAGCGTCCCGGCGGACACCATTGCGTTCTCGGCGCGGCACGTCAGCTGCTTGCCGTCGTCCTCGACCGCCGGCTGGAAGGGCAGCTTGCTGCTGGTGATGTTGCCCCCGTTGGACACCTGGCACAGAGACGGTCCGTCACCTTACACCGTCGCCGTCGTGCTCGGAAACGTGTCACGTGCGCCCATCAATTCAGGACAGTCCGCGGATGGGCCATGCATTGTAATGGCCCGTTGATGACCGACTACGGAGATGAGTCATGAAGGGAGGGGATGCAGTCGACACCCACCTTAGCGCGTGACTTATGACTGTGTCAACACCCCGCGACAGGCTAGTGAGGCAGTGAATGATGAATGTACTTACCGGCAAAGGCTGTCTTATAGAGCATAGGTCAGGGTCTGTGCCGACGACCGACGTAGTGTAAGTTCTGAATTTAAAACCAAACCAGAGTCACGCATACAATGGACGTTTTCATCGCCATAATTTCCTTTCCGTCCGTATTTAGAATTCTGGTGAAACGTGAATTTAAAACAGTGACATGAGTAACGTAAAGAAAAGCAAACACAAACCAGTTTTCGAATGCCTCGAAATGTACGGTATTTTTATTGATGGTCTAGTTCCGACCACAACTCGCCATGACGCGACTTCCGTGACTAACAGCCTGGAAAACGGGATTACGTAAGCCAATCTTTGAAACTAGCCGCACGTCTGCTAGAGTCGGTGCTCGTTCTTTGTTCTTTTCCTGTCCAGGTGTTAGTAGTAGATAAATTTAGTGTTACAATACTCCAACTCAAAGCGCTGTTCCAGTAATTATATATGAGTACTGTTTTATTGAAGCAACTAAGCTATTGCTTCTCATAAATGAAGGCACGCTTGCAGGCAGTTTCTACTGTAGATAGTATCAGCGATAAAAGGATTGGGGTTTTTAATCCACTTGGCACTGAGCAGGTCCTGGTAAATCATGGACTGGACAAGACCACAAGGGTGTGACGCTTTCTGTGGCGAGTTGTTTGAGATCATCATGGTCACAGAACACGTGCCAACCTTGTCAACAGCACAGCCAGCCGGGATAGTGAAGATAGTCTTCCAGCGAATACCAAACGTACCATAGGCAAATGGTCAAGTGCAGATGGATCGTCGTCACTCAATCATTATTTACGACAATTTGGCACCAACTACAGCACTAACGATATATTGCTTTGTAGCTTGCACTATAATGCTGAGAAAGAACAATTTCAATATAACTTATATGCTTAAGTCATAGACAACAGCTTCTTTACGACATTCCCAAGTCTGCCAGTCCAAGGCTGCATACCGCCACGTGCCGCATTGTTCACAAACTTTCTCTGTAGTTACCGCCACGACCTCCGGACCGATCCCTTCAAACGACACCAGCGCGCCAAGTTTGCCCCGCGGGTCTCACCGCCTGCGAGTGGCCGCCGAGCTGCCGGTTCCCGATCCACCAGGTGATGTTGGCTGCCGGCCGAGAGCCGAACGTGCGACAGACCAGGTGGTACGTCTTGCCGGCCGAGAACGCCGCCGCCGCCGAGCCCAGGATCTCCACACTCAGAGGACGGACTGCCAACAGACGGCGCGTGCTGACGTTATTATCACGTTACTAACTACATACATCATTCATTGAGAGGTGATGGGTACGAGGTGGTAACAAAACAAAGGTGATACAAAGCATCGAGTTTTATATACAAAGGAACAGGTGAACATCCTACTCCCGTGATAACGGGTGAACTCAGATCCTTACATATTGCTGAAAATGGAACCGAGCTGTGTATTTTGTAAGCTGCAAGCCCGTTTGGGCAGCTTAAGTTCACTACCCAGTAAATTAGCCATCATGACGTTTGCGAATCAGTGTTAAAAATCAGTATGCATAAAGCAATGACGTTTCCATAACAATGGAAAATGACCCTTGCTGTGTTCTAGTCATGAAGTTTACAAGCTTGCTGGGATATTCCAAAGCAAATCAAACTGTCATTTACGCCTTACCATGATCTTCAATTAAAACGAACAAATTGGCCTCTTATAGATAAATATAAGCTTCAGGGCATCAACCAATAAACATTAACTGCAAGCTCTAAGATCGTAACGGGTTGCATCTTGAGGTCTTCAATAAAGATAAAAAACAATTAAACAACAACAGTGAGGTCGATCACCGCCTGCAAAATGTTTGCACTATTTATCATAAGCTGTTTCCAGCTTCAAAGCATATTATCGTTAAAGAGGCAGATAGCTGAAGCACCAATTACATGCAGGGCTGCACAACATCAAACACAGTCTGATTGAACTCAGAGACGGAACTCCTACCCAATTATTTCCCCTTGTTTTACGTTCTGGAGGCTGTTTGATGTTTATTCAATTGGCTAACTATACGAATATAGTCGAACACGGATACTCGCTATCCGCCATCCAATAGTCGATAAGTGCACCGAAGATGGTTCGTATCCGAGCTGGATTAAACATGCTTCCATCACACGCTAACTCAACTTTGCCGGCTGTCGGTTCCCATTTAAGCAAACAGAAATCGGCGTTGTGAAAATCGCGGCTGGTGGTCCTCACAGTGATTGTGACAGGGTGTTGTGTTACGATCGACTGACGAGCGCGGAACAATGCGAATAATTAGCGAGTACGCAAACAAGAGGAATCGAATACCTTATCAGCGGCTCAGCTGTCAATTTGAGGGACTGCTTTGGGTGTCTGGCGGCTTTGATATCGCATCTGAGAGCGCACAATACCAGTCTTGAGCAAATAGCTACCGCGAGTTATGCCTGAGCATAGATGATAACAACACGTAGCAATACCTAATGCGTGCAGGGGGCAGTGAAACACTGAACAGTGAACGGACCTACCATAATAGTAACAACACGTTGCAAATATGAATGTATAAAATGATAAATAAGCACATTATTAACCATAAGCAATGTTTGGCAATAAGACGTCTTAGAAATGCATGCATGAAATTATTGAATGTCTTCAGAGTCTTTACTATGCGTACCATTCCTTCCTTCCCACCTGCATATCTCGCACGCCCCGCCCACCAGCACAGCCGACTGGCGGCGACGTCCCTGCACTCACAGTAGATGTCCAGGTGGACGTCGTTGACGGCCGGCTGGCTGATGTTGTTGTTGGAGGCGGCGCACACCAGTCGCGTGTCCAGGTCGGAGCGGCCCAGCGGCGGCAGGCGCAGCTCGTTGGTGACCTGACCCGCCCCGGCTGACCGGTCAGTGCCGTCCAGCAGGCGACTGCCGCGAAACCAGCGCACTCGCGGCGCCGGACGACCTGTAGGGTCAAACGCACAGCGTCACAGGCTGTGGGGATCGGTAATTTCATCTGTGCTTGTAGCTCAACGGAGAAAACCACCAATCGATAGAGCGTAAGCTGCTGAGTGATGTCTCGTTTTGCGTCGATTCAGACGAAATACGTTCAGTCAACTAAAATATTACACGGGATCTTGAAAGACACGCACGAAGATAATCTTGATTGTAGGGTTCAAGATTACCCAATTTACATCGTGGATCAGTGGCGTATCCAGGGGGGAGGCCAAGAGGCCATGGTCTCCCCCTTTGGCATCAAACATGCAAGTGGGCCCTTTGGGTTACTTGAGTGCAGTGACGTACCCAAGGGGGGCCATGGGGGCCCTGAGGGGCGCCCTGGTGACCAGGGGGACCTGAGGGTCCCCCTGGTCACCTGAGGGGTCCCTGGTTATCTGATGGGCCCCTGGTTACCTGAGTGGCCCCTGGTTATCTGAGGGGCCCATGGTTATCTGTGGGGCCCCTGGTTATCTGAGGGGTCCCTGGTTATCTGAGGGGCCCCTGGTTATCTGAGAGGCCCCTGGTTATCTTAGGGGCCCCTGGTTATCTGAGGGGGCCCTGGTTACCTGATTGGTCCCTGGTTATCTGAAGGACTCCTGGTTACCTGAGGGGCCCCTGGCTACGGGGGCCCTGGTTACCTGAGGGGCCCTGGTTATCTGAGGGGTCCATGGTTACCTGAGGGGCCCCTGGTTTCCTGACAGGCCCCTGCTTACCTGAGGGGCTCCTGATTACCTAAGGGGCCCGTGATTGCTTGAGAGTCCCTGATTATCTGAGAGGCCCCTGGTTACCAGTGGGGCCTCTTGGTATATGAGGGCCCCTGGTTATCTGAGGGGCCCCTGGTTACCTGAGGGGCCCCTAGTTATCTAAGGGGCCCCTAGCTACCTGAGGGCCCCTGATCCCCTGGGTGACCCCTGGCCAGTGATCTGAAGAAACCCTGGTCACCTGAAGGGCCCATGTTTACCCAGGGAGTACCTGGTTAAATGAAGGGCCCCTGCAGTCACATAAAGGCCCTTAGTTACCCGTAGAGCCCCTGGTATAACCGTCCCCTGGTTATCAGAGGGTCCCCTGGTCACCTGGTGGGCCCCTGGTCAATTGAAAACCCCTGGTCAATTGAAAGGCCCTGGTCAATTGAAAGGTCCCTGGTCACCTGAGACGCCCCTGGTTACCTGAACGGGCCGTGATCACTCGGATTCAATGGTAACGCCTAAGTGATGGCCCCCACCAGTGTCTCTAAGCCCTAAGGCCCTCACAACGGCGCCTGCGAGGACCCCACACCAGCGCATCTGACGGCCTTTCACGACACCTCTGAGGGACTAACACAGGTGACTCTGAGGCGCTCGCTCGCTTCACTTCCTCATAAAATACCGTGCATTTTATGCATTCTTCTCAAGCAAAAAAAAAGAAGATATTTTTACCTGCCAATTTTGCACATTTTCTCAGGGCTTAGACAGACAGACAGACAGACAGACGGACAGAGGGGCCCGTCTGCAAGGGGGACCGGGCCCACTGTGCCCAATCCCCTCATCGAAAGGCTCTGGATACGCCCCTGCCTGGGTTGACAGCGGCATCCGGGTGATCCGTGGGCCCCTTTGAGAGCAGGCGGCCCCCTCCTGGGCGAAATCCTGAGTATGTGCCTGCTTGAGTGTCCCAAGAGAAACGACCTTCAGGGCCTCATCCAAAGTACTGACCCAAGCATAAATAAAGTCAAACTGCGTCAAACTATCTTAAAATGTCATTTGATGGCCGCACCCAGAGGCTAGCGTGGGCCCTCAGATGTCGCTTTGGCGGCCATAAAGAAGCTTAGACTCGAGCGTGGGATCCTTTGACGCTGGTGTAGAGCCCTAAGGAGCCAGCGCTCAGCCCTCTAAGGCCAGCGTGGGGCCCCTCTAAGGCCATTTTGGGGTCTTCTAAGGCCAGTGTGGGGCCTTCTAAGACGTCTATGTCCAGCGTGGGGTCTTTTAAGCCCCAGACATGAGACTCAGACATGGGGCCTTCTTAGGTCAGATTGAGGCCCATTGGCCACCGAGACTAGCTTGGGGCCCTTTAAAGACAATGTGGAGCCCTCTTAGGCCAGTGTGGGGCACTCTGTGACCAGCGTGAACCCCCTGAGGCCAGCGTGGGGCCATCTGTCATTTGACTTCAGACTTTCGGAGGCTGGTGCTGGGCCCTCAGAAGCCAGCGCGGGCCTTCATAGGCTGGCATCGGGCCAATAGAGGCCACCTCGAGGGCCTCGTCAGCTACTTTTCAGATCTTATGCATGTTTGGGCCCCCTGAGGTAGGAGTGGCCCTTAAAGGCCGGCGTGGGACCCTCAGCTGGGGCATCATGGGCTTCTAGAGACCGGCGTGGGTTCGAAGGCGACATAAGGTCGTCAGATTGACTCAAAGACTTCCAAGAGCCAGCGGGGGGGGGGGGTCAGCCATAGCATGGGTCTCCTGAGGCCATTATGGGGCCCGGAGGCCAGCGTGGTTCACTCTGTTGCCGGTGGGGGGCTTTCAGAGGCCAGAATGGGCCTTCAGAGGTCGGAGTGAGGCCAATGTGGGCGACATAGAGCCATCAGAGTCTAGATCAGAGCTCAACCCGAGTCGGGCCCTTCTAAAGTTAACCCTCGCCCTGGCAGGGGAGGGGGTCGATGCGACCCCCGACCCCCCCCCCCCCCTAAGGTTTTTCGAAGATAGCGTAAAAACGGCGGCGTGCGCGCCGCCAAATTTGGCACAGCCTATGGGGCAACCTTTTTACATATGACCTGATAATTTCAGGTCCGGGTGACCTTGGATCAGGTCACCAGGTCAGAAAAACCGGTACAAGGTCATGGTCAAATTTCAATTTTCTTTTTGCACCTGTCCAACTCACAGTTTTGGACTGATTTCCTGCAAACTTTCAGGATGTGCTAAGTTCACCGAGTTGTATAACATATAGTTCGGGTTTTTTGAGGTCACTGACCTGAGGTCAGTTAGAGGTCATTACGTCGTAATGTTAAGCCTATGGGAAAATAATAAATTCGGAAAATACTGGAGATATCCGCTTCGTTCTATCACTTTTGTGCTTTGAAACCACAGTACTTAAAGGGACCCTCCCACCTTCAAAAAAGTTAATGAATTGGCATGAAAGTGATGTCGCTCGGTTCAGAAAGAGCAAAAACGAATATCCACCAAATTTCACCGAAAAATATTCACCGGTTTTCAAGATATTAGACTTTTACTTTTGTTTACTTTTTGGGATCTCCGCTGTTCCTAGCGACTTTATTTGAAAGTGCGGCATTTGTTGCGCGCAAAGCAGCATATACCACCGCGTGCTACAAAACGTTTTAGTCAAACATTTAACGGACGTTCGAAAGCCTGATGACGTCATCAGATTCCCGTAATGGTTAAGAGATAGGGACCACGCTGGTCCCACCCTGCAAGTAAAGGGAAGAAATTTCTTGAACACCATAAAGCTGCGGGGGTTGCGACCAGGATAAATGGTGGTTTCTGAGCCTGGCCGCAAACTTGGCTATCTCAACCCAAAACTAATGTTAAGGTGGGAGGGTCCCTTTTAACAGCAGGTCACTTGGTGCTTCTTTGTTTGGTGTAGGGGAGAGCGGGGCCAGTTGAACCACTTTTTATATATTGACATGCACAGCGAGATCTAGTTGTCATATCGAAAAATGCACAATGCCATGAAAAAATATGCTCTTTTGGCTTTATTTTAAGATATGTAAAATTATGTTTCAAACATATTTTGCTGCCAAACGCATGCTTATAAAACAGCTCTACGCCCGTTTCAAATGACTCCGATGCGAGGGTCAATTGAACCAGCCCATGGGGTCAATTGCACCTATCCTTAACAATGGGATGTTTTCCTCTTTAAGGCCACTTTCTTAAGGAGATATTTTGTCCGGTTTACTTTTCCAAATGCTACATTCAATAGGTCGTTGGAAAGCTAAAAGTGCAAAGTTCCTCGTAATAGGTGACATAAAGTACATAGACTATGGTAAAATGGGCGGATGAGAAAAATGAGAAATATCTCAGGCTATAGTGTGCTTTCAAGCAAAAGGCTGGAGAAAAAGGGGTCAAAAATTGAGCTCTATTAAACTACACTGAGAAAAAAAATTATTCCCCAGGGGTGTTTTACGGGTGTCAGACACCATTGGAGGTGTCATCGAACACCCAGATTGGTGTTGAAAAATGCTGTTTAGGGAATCATTAAGGTGTACAACACCACGATGACACCCTTTCAAGTGTTCGTTCGCATGCGAGCGTTTTATATATACCTTAATGGGATTCAGCATGACACCTTAATAGGTGTCCGACACCCACACCCATCCGGGTATCAAACACTCTAAGGTATCAAACACCCTAAAAGGTGTCAATTTTTTTTTTAAAGCATCTGACACCCTTATGATGCCTTCACAGGTGTTGCCATTTATTGAAGCGGAATGTTAAGAGTGTCCGACACTGCTAGAGGTGTCACATTGACACTTGCAAAAGGATTTGACACCAAAAACAGCGTGAAAAAAATGAGGAAAAATATTCCCATGGGGTGTCTCACGGGTGTCGGACATCATTGCAGTGTCATATATAACGCCCAGATTGGTGTCAAAAATGTTGTTTTGGGAATCATGGAGGTGTACAACACCACGATGACAACCTTCAAGTGCAACGCGCTTTTAAACACACCATAATGGGATTCAGAAAGACACATTAATGGGTGTCCTACACCAACATCCATTCGGGTGTCAAACACCCTAAACCATCAACACTTCAAAAGGTGTAAAAAAAATGTTCCTTAAAAGGGATCTGATACCCTTGTGATACCTTCACGTGTGTTGTCATTTGTTGAGGAACATTCCAGCATGAGTCATGAAATGTTTGAAAGCTGTCGTGTATTCGAACCTAAATCATCACATAAATTGTTCTGACGTCACTTGTGTTAGGAACCAGGGATGCGGTGTCTAACGGATTTTCAGTGACTCGGACTCCCGCTCTGTC